CTTGTAGTGAAGGAGAGTTCTCCGGAGCTTTTTAGATTCTTGAGCTCCCAAACACCTGTCTATCATCTTTACCCTTTATTCCCCAACCCGATCTTCGTTCAAAATCAAACAGTGTTGGATGGGAGAACTAAGGTGACGTTGGGTTCGTTGGAATGTTTATGAGGGAATTGAAATTTGTGAATGAATTAGAATATGTAGGAATTGGAATCTGAATCTGAAACATGTTTGGTTAGCAGGAAATTAAATTTGAATCCAATTCCATATTTTGTTTGGTTCGCAAACATGTCAGATGAATTTGATTTTAGTAATGTAAAATGACAGAATTGACCTTTTTGTTTTTTTGCTTAATTTTAGTTTGTTTTATAATTTACATGTAGCAATATATTATGGAAATTTAAGAAATATTAAATTTTCATTTTATTGATTGATTATTCATTTCAATAAATTATAAAAATCATACTAATAAACATCATAAGCTAAAATTATCCATGGGTCGGGTTGGGTCAGGTTTTTGGTATACCCGACCCGAGAACAAGGGAACCTTCACTCGAGACCCGACCCGACCAAAATAAAGTTTCACCCGACCCGACCCCACCCGAATATATGAATTAGAAACCCAACCCGAAATAATAAAAAATTATTTTTATTCAATAAAAACAATGACTTAATTGAAAAAAAATATATAAGGGTATTATTGTAATTATTCCTAAATATATAAGGTAAAATTATATATATTTTTCGGGTCGGGTCGGGTATTTTTCATCCTAAACCCGACCCGAATATCACACTTAAAAAACCCGACCCGAATATCACACTTAAAAAACCCGACCCGACCCAAATATCACACTTAAAAAAACCCGACCCGACCCGATCAAAATATGTTAATAAGTTACCAAAAGATTGATTAGGGTAGTATGATCAAATTTTACATTCCTTCCTCTAAAAGATTTCAATTCCCTCGTTAAATGAATGGAATTTACTTTCCTCATTTGATGGAATTTACATTCCCTTAGGATTTCAATTCCTTTTGAAAATTTGAACCAAATATAGAAAGTGATGGAATTAGATTCTAATTTCTTCTAATTTTAAGAGATTCATGCTAATCAAACGCCACTTAATAAGATTAGGAAAGGCTTAGCTTGAGAAAAAATATGCAAAATACTATACAGGGGTGAAGTTTGATTTATTTTCCGACAGAAACGGTCGTTGGGGGATGGAGGGACCCGCAGGATGCCGCGGGAAAATTGAATAAATGACAAAACCTTATTTAGGATCAATGTGTGGCGGAGGGAGATTATTCATTCCTTTGTCTTCTGTGATAAACAATAAAATATTGTGAACCGCTTAATCTTAGGTGTTGTTCGGTAAATACCATAAATAAGAAAATACACATGCTTGTTTCTCTTAGATCATAAAAATACTCAATCTAAATTATAAATTTGAAAGAAGATTTATCTCAATTGCCACCCATATATTTGTCATAATTTTTCTAATAGTTTAAAATAACTATAAGATAATATTTATTTAAAATTATTTTAATAATTAGTAATACCTATATGTATATTTTATAGAGGTAACTGTTTGAATTTATATAATATTATTTGTTATCATTAAATTTATCATATAAAATTATTAAATAATAACACGCTAGTTTTTTTTTTATGAATGAATAAAAATGACGTAAAATTTTAATACAAACTAAAAAAATATTACATCAACATTATTAATTTTTTAATAATCGATAGTTGAAATAGAAAGAAAAATAATATTAATGTGCTTTTACCAAAGAAAACAGTTTAATAACCAAAATAAAGACAGAGAATTGATGGTTACTGATTTAGTTTATCCTAATAAACAAGGGACAGCCATTTTTTAAGGATGGTTATTTCCGAAATTTCTAATCATGTTTTAAGGTGGTGTTATTAATATATTAGAAATCCTTCGTTAATTGGTTGACAACGGCATGTTTGAAAGAGAACGACATGCATCTCTCCTTGATGTTTGTGTCAATCATGTGCACACAACTTATATTGCCACGTACGCCGCCGTATCCTATCACGTGCCGGTACGCAAAGGGTAATAATGGAAGGTTCAATGACATTCTTCTTCTTCCTAAACTTTCAGTTTAGGTCTTTTATTTTTTTTATTTTCATTTTTCTTAATATATTAAGATAACGTCAATTATTTTTTATTAATATTAACGATAATTTTTTAAATTAAAAAACATTTAAAATATATAAAAAATAACAATATTAATTTAATAAATCTATACTTTTTATCTATTATATTTGTCGTTATCCTATATCATTTATATCGTTGTTATCGAAATTGATGAGGGAAGGGTAACAAAACTAATTTAAAGAAGAAGGTAGTGAAGAAACGAGAGAGTAGGTAAGACACTTGTATTTCTAAAAATTTTAAATTATTATATTTTGAAAATTATTTGTATTTTATTAATAATTTATTTCCGTTCGTAAAATTTTATAAATTTAGCTGTTTAACCTAAAATCACATGATTGTTGTTTATAGGTATGACTTTATTTTATACGTAATATGAACATGGCAATGATTAAAACGTAACGAATCCATGCACTAATAACATTGCCTGATTATTCGTTTTCTTCACGATCTAGGCGTCATGCGATCAATTACTTTAATTCCTAATCCATAATGTTCCTTCCTGGTTCCACCGTTATCCATCTCTAATGATTATTGATTAAATTATAAGACAAATATTTTTGCTAAATAATTATTAAAATATATAAAGCCATAATAATACTGAATTGGGGTTAAAAAATATTCACAATTACTTTGGCTTTACTGCGAAGCTTCTCCACAATCATGGCAACACACACCAACTCACTTTCAGCTTCCCAGAACTTACACGAAGTAAACCCTAATAATCGTCATTATATACATTATAATATTTTAAATATATATTTAAAATAAACTGGCAATAATCCCATAGCAAGGGAGACGGCGTATTGAATTGAACCATTTGGATTCCATGTTAACCTTATAAAGGAAGTTGGCCTTGGTATGGTCAACCAAATATTTTATTGTTCGGCTAAAAACCCAGTTCAGACACGTTTAAACAGTTGTTTGTAATTTGTATTTTATTTTCTCATAAATCAAATCAAATAAAATATTTATGACATCGAAATCTTAATATCTTTTTTTTATATTCTATTGAGAGTAAATATAGTTATCCAACCAAACCAAACCAAACCAGACCAGCAATAAATGTTACGAGTATGTAACAGAACATCTTTGACCTATTTGGGTAGGATTTTTAATAAACTTCCTTTGTTTAAATTTTGGTCTGATTTTCTTTTCAACCCTTTTGTTTTTTTTTTGTAAAATTAAAATTTAATATATGTTTTTCAATCTAAAATTTTATTGCACCTATTTATTTATTTATTTAATATTTCATGCCCAATTGATAAAATTTTCAATGAAATTTTGTTAAATTAGATTATGTAGCATCTCTTTCCTTAAAATTAAAAAAATTGATTTTAGGGCTATAAGATTTCTAATTTTCATAATTATAATACAAAATTACGAACAAATTAATGATTAAAATATAGGGTAAAGTACAAAGATGGTCCCCCACTAAAGGGTGATGCTTTGTTGAGTCACCGACTATTAAAAGTTACAAAATGGTCCATCGGCTATAGGATGTTTCTTTGTTGTTCCCTAACTATTAAAAGTTATAAAATAGTCACCCGACTATTTATATGTTTCAAATTCGTCATTCTATATTAAAAAATTAGCAATCGTCTAACCTGAACATTAACATGTTGACTAAGATATGATAAAATCATATTTTCATAATGTTTACTAGTATCATAGTTGCTTTTAAGCACTGTCTCGACAGTATAATGTGGAGAGTCAATCTATAAAATACAGTTCTGACGGTTCTAGGCTTAGATTTTACAATATCTCAATTAACATGTTAATGTCCAACCCAAATGGTCGTCAATTTTTTAACGAAAAATGACGAGTTTTGAACATATGAATAGTTGAATGACCATTTTATAACTTTAATAGTTTGAGGACTCAACAAAGCAACATCCTATAGTTGGAGAATCATTTTGTAATTTTTTATAATCAAATGACTCAACAAAATAATATCCTATAGTTGGAGGACCATTTGTGTACTTTACCCTAAAACATATAGGAATTTAAAGCAGAATAAAGTAAAACATGGCGTACATTGGGCAAAATTTTCGAGATAATATTCTCGAATTTTTTATTTAACGATATAACGTACTCCTAAGATTAATTGCTCATGGCCGTAGGTCGCCATGCCTTCCGGGCGACCTACGGCGTGGCAGCTTCCCAACATAGGTCGCCATGCACTCCGGGCGACCTTGTAGGTCGCCATGCACTCCTCCTGCTCCTCCGTGATTCCTCTTGCCCTCGGATGCCCTCGCATAGCTCGCTCGAATGGCCTCGGTCGGATGCCTTCGGATGCCCAACGTGTTGGAACGTGCATGACACATGCAATCTCTCTCATAGCTCGCCGGGAAGACATGACGACCTAGTAGGTCGCCCGGATGGCATGGCGACCTACAACCAACACTGTAGATTTCACTCTATTTGAGCAATTAATCTGAGGAGTGCATTATCTCGTGAATTAATTTATTCGAGAACGTTATCTCGAGAGTTTAGCCCGTACATTGTATGTACGCATGGTTTCCAAGATCTCAATTTTGTAATTAAGTCAAGTCTTATGAAAATTATTAAAAAGTAAAGAGATTAAATTTTAAATACCTAAATAATACAAACACTGATAGAGGAATTATACCCTAAAATTTATGCCAAAAAGTTTACACTTTTTTATCTCAGAAAAAATAGACAGCCCAACTTCACCTTTTCCTCAATAAATAAATAATAATAAATTATTAGTATGATTATTTTATTTTTAAATAAAATTTAAAGAAGAGAAGTATGATTATATGTGCACAGCACGGGGACGTTGATAACTGATCTCCCCGCAATCATTCAGCCCTTTTCTCTTCCTTTCTGACTCTCTCTCTTCCTTCCCTATCCATAGACCCAAAGGCCGTTCCTTTATTCCGATCAGAGAAAACCCAGATTGAATAAACCCTCAAAACTCCCTTCTTTCCCCAAACAAGGCGATGGTTGAAACGCGACGGAGCTCTTCCTCTTCAAAACGACCCCTTTCCTCTCCCGCTACATCGCTTCCTACCCCTAGTAAACGATCCAAGGTCTTAGCTTTGTTTTCCTTTTCTGATAATCCTAAAATTTTATTTCTCCTTTGGTTTTCAATTTGCATGCGTGTCAAATTTCTTTCTTTTTTTCATCTTTAGATTTGAATCTGGGACTTATTGTTTTTTCTCCTTTAGGCATCTGAGCCGGCGGCATCTTCCACCAATGGAGCGACGGTGTCTGGGCCGCTGAACGAAGCTCTGGGCCCGGTGAAGGAATCCAGGTCGGATTCACGAGTAACGGAGCTTCGATCTTCTGATCTGCCGGTATCCGATGCGGATAAGGCCGTTGATGAGTCTATCCCTGATAAGTCTGCTGATGCTGATGTGGAGAACGGTGCTTTGGTGTCTCCGCGGTCTTTAGGTGCGATCCTCGATTGATTTCTCAATTTGGTTTACGGGGTTTTGATTTTCTTTTTTTTTTGGGTTATGTGGGAGATTTTTTAACGGGGCTTCGATGTCTTTACTTCTGGCTACGTAGGTGAACCTGCTATTGATGCGGAGAACGCGAAGGTGGTCGGTGCTGGGCTTACCGCTCGGGTTAAGAAGAAGCCAACGAAACCTGCTAAATCAGGTTCTAAAGTCCCTTGGGGAAAGCTTCTTTCTCAGTACTCTCAGGTATGTTCTTTGAAATTGCGTTATTATTACCTTCTAGTTCATGATCTCTGTGCTAAATAAGACAAGATTAGGAATGCATATTGCGGCTCTGGGTCTTTCAGTTTTTCAGCCAACAAAGCAATATCATAAGACGGAACTATTGTTTTGTTTTAAGAATTGTTAATGGCTGAAGGATCATAGAACTTTCAGCTCGTGAATTTTGGATGTCAATGAAATCTTACTACATAATTTGAGTAATTTGATTTCAATCATAGAGTGGGACCTTGGAGTTCATAATAGTATAGGTCAAACTGAGATCCTATTTTAAAGAGACTTTAATTCAAATGCATTGGACTTTATTCATCAACATTACCAAACAAGCTGTTATTATTGCAATTATGCTTGGATTCTGAAAACAGTGGTCTAACCTTAAGATTAAAATTGCAAATTTGAGATAGGAGTTTAAGTTTCAGTTATTGTACATATTCAGTTGTTGAAAAGATCCCTCTGTGCATGATTTGATTGTTACTCTTGGGATATTGGCGGGAAAATTACTTTTAGGTTATCTCGGTAAATTGGCCCCTGCTTTCATAGTGTGTTCTATTTTGGTTTGTCATTTTCATCGCAACAATTGGAATAGATGAACCAGGCAATTTGTTTTCTCTCTTTTCTAGCCAGAAAGATCGAAGTAAAATTTTCTTTTTCATGGTAAACAGCCTTTGTTTTTTTTTTGCCTTTTGGGTATCTTCCAATTGTAATTCTCAATCTTATAGTTTAATCCATTAGCTATATTTCATGGAGAGGTGATCTTTACTCATTCTGCTTGAATGCCTTGGTGCCAAACATAGACTTGGCATACCACCAATTTTCTAGCCATTTTTCCTCTTTATATAGGTTTCAATTCTTTATGGTAATTTCATTCAAAACTACTATGCTTCCGATTCTTATTAATGTTCAATTTGTCCCCAGAACCCTCACGTGGTCATGTGTGGCACTATATTCACTGCTGGCCAAAGTCGTCAGTGTAATTTATGTCTTAAAGATCCCAATATTAGCACTGTTTTGTGCAAAGTGAAGCACATAGAGGTATGGATCTTCGCAAATATTTTGCTCATAGTTTTCCAATTTTCATGGGTTTATGAGAGTGATGATATTATTTTCTCCTAGTGTAGAGTGATGGCAGTTCAATTGCATTACTAGAAATTACAGGAGGAAAAGGCTCTGTCCAGGTTAATGGGAAGACTTACCGCAAAAATGCTACTTTAATTCTAAATGCAGGAGATGAATTGATTTTCACTAGTACAGGGAATCACGCTTATGTATCCTTTTTATTGTTTTTTCAACTTTTGGTGCTCTATGCGCTCATATGAGAATCTTTGTAGTCTTTCGGCAGGTTCCATTATTCAGCATTGAGTTTATTTTGATATTTATTCCATCTTAGCAACCTTTTAATTCCTTAACGAAAATATAGATTTTTCAGCAGCTCACCAATGATAACTTAGCTGCCCCAGGCATACCTTCTACTTTAAGCGTTTTAGAAGCTCAGACAGCTCCTATAAAAGGGATTATTGAAGCACGATCAGGTGACCCATCTGCTGTTGCTGGGGCGGCAACAATTTTGGCCTCTTTGTCAACAAAAGAAAATTCAGAGATGTCTACCTTACCTTCTGGTTGTGAAGTGTCAGATGACCGGCTTCCAGACGTGGATATGAAGGATAGTGCTTGTAATACTGATCCAGCGACAGCTTCTTCAAGGGACAAAACCAGTCCTCCTACACCTGATGTAGCCAATGGAAACTCTAATCTTGATAGACTTGGATTGAATGATGGTATGGATGCTGACAATACAAAGATCCCTGGGGCAAGCTACTCTTTAAGGCCATTATTGCGTATTCTTGCTGGTACATCTACTGACTTCGATTTTAGTGGCAGCATTGCCAAAATTCTTGACGAGCGAAGGGAAATTAGAGAGATGCTTAAGGATTTTGAACCTCCTTCAGCTTTGATATCAACTAAGCGGAAAGCATTTAAAGATAGTTTACAGGAAGGCATTCTCAATCCGGACAATATAGATGTCTCATTTGAAAATTTTCCGTATTATTTGAGGTAAATTTTGTGCTTTTGCAATGAATTGTGTTCTTCACCTCTATCTTCTTCAGACGTTTATTATTATCATTTCTTATGTCTATATCTTGGGAAACCTAATTTGTATTATTGCTTTTACTTATTTTGCCGATCTAGTTTTCACAATTTTTGCAAATCTGTATGTGATGAATATTGATCATCCAACATTGCATATTGCAGAAAATAGAATTCTTTGTCTGCCACTCAGCATTATCCGTCTCTGTTTATGTTATAACCAAATTCATTTCCTATTTATCATATTTGGAGTGTTGGGGAAATTTGATTAATTTTACTTGAAAATTTCCATTGTGACAGTGATACGACAAAGAAAGTTTTGATAGCCTCAGCTTATGTGCATTTGAAGTGTAATAAATTTGCGAAGTACGCTTCAGATCTTCCTACCATGAGTCCTCGTATATTGTTGTCTGGTCCTTCGGGTATGGCTGTTATTTTTCTGTTAATTGGCTCTGTAATGTTTAATTCTTCCTATTTGCTCGTTATATTCTCTGATCTGAGCATTCAAATTTTCAATTAATTGCCTTTGATTATGTTATAGGTTCAGAAATATATCAGGAGACATTGGCAAAGGCACTTGCTAATCATTTTGGTGCTCGACTGCTGATTGTTGATTCTCTTCTGTTGCCTGGAGTATGCTTATTTCACCTCTCAGCTTGTTTAGATTCTTTGAAAATATCATTTTATGAAAGCAAAATCTTTGTTCTGAGTCTTGTGTTGTTGCACAAGTTTCTTTATCGTTTCAAATTTCTAAATGTCTGAGCATTTTTTGTGACATCTATTTTCAACTATTTTCCTTCCAATATATCCAGGGATCAACATCAAAAGAAGCGGATCCTGTGAAAGAACCTTCGAGAGCTGAGAGGGCTTATGCATATGCTAAAAGAGCTGCACAGGCTGCTGCTTTGCAGCAGAAGAGACCTACTTCTAGTGTCGAAGCTGATATAACAGGGGGTTCTTCGCTGGGCTCCCAAGCATTGCCAAAACAGGAAGTATCTACTGCAACATCTAAAAACTATACATTTAAGAAAGGTATTTCACTTCCTTTAGATAGAAGAGTTACCTTTGTTTTTTTGTAATGCCATAGCTTTTTTTAAAGATAAATTGGTGATCTAAAATTACTTGATCTAAAATTGTCAGGTGATAGGGTTAAGTTTGTAGGTGTCACATCACCTTCAGGACTTTCCTCTCTACAACCTGCTTTAAGGTATCTTCTTATACTCTACAGTTTAGCTAGCCATATGGGTGTTTTCTCTTCAATACCAAGAACCTTTTTTATATTTTTTTGACATTAGGTTTGGAGTTTTATCTTATTTTGGTGCTGTCCTTGCTTGCTTATATTGGAGATCGAATTTGATTGCTGTCCTTTATACCATTGCTAGTCATCCGAGATTTTCCTATTTGTTTTAAGAAATGCTGCTAGTGTTGGCATGGTGTATACGGCATGTAATTTTTTCATGAGACGGACTTTATTAATCTTATTGATTATGTTCTGCGAAAATTATTGATTATGTTCTGCGAAAAGGTTTAGTAGTATAATATTTGTGTTCTGTGTAGGGGACCAACCATTGGTTTTCGGGGCAAAGTTCTCCTTGCATTTGAAGAAAATGGTTTCTCAAAAATTGGGGTTAGATTTGACAGATCTATTCTGGAGGGAAATGACCTTGGTGGGCTTTGTGAAGAAGATCATGGTTTCTTCTGTGCTGGTGATCACTTTATCCCATTTCTTGCATTGATTTCAAACATCTTTTATGATACTTTGTGAACTTTTTCCTCAACCTTACTCATTATGTTTTCTATCTATAGCTAGCTCACTTCGTTTGGATAGTTCTGGAGGTGATGATGTTGACAAGCTAGCTGTTAATGAACTTTTTGAGGTACATATCATTATGGTTAAAGCGACGGAGCTTTTGCTTTATGGTATTCATGTTTTATAAGCATTTAGCTCTGAATTGTCTCACTTTTTTAGATTGCAGTGAATGAAAGTAAGCACTGTCCCTTAATATTGTTTGTGAAAGAAATAGAGAAGTCCATGGCTGGAAATTCAGATTTATATACTTCCCTGAAGAGTAAGGTTGAGAATCTGCCAGCTAATGTTGTTGTGATTGGTTCTCATACCCAGATGGATAATCGCAAGGAGAAAGTAAGCAACCTACATTTGGTTCAACTCTGTCTTTCTTTGATGCTTTAGGAAGTATTTTAACCTTTTGATGTCTGCAATTTTGTTTTTCTTCAGTCTCATCCTGGCGGCCTCTTGTTCACAAAATTTGGATCCAATCAGACTGCCTTACTTGATCTTGCATTTCCAGTACGTCAAGCAACTACACTTTTCTTTGCATTATGCTTTTGAGAAAAAATGTTGGAATAATTTTAAGGAATGAACTGAGTTTATACAACTGTCTAAATTTCTTTGTGAGCCTGACTGTTTTGGTGGTTTCTAACTTTCTAGTTGTGTACTTGTGTCAAGTTTTGGAAGGACCATGTCTGACTATTTGCTAACATATCAATGTTTATACTTTGAATTTGAATGCTCTTTTCTCAAACAGTGACATTATTACCATTTTTAAAAGTTTTAGGTGTAATCCTCATTTGAATTTAACATGATTTAATGCCCATGCGATTATATAGTGTTCTTATATTGCAATTCAAATTAGAGTTAGTAGTTAACATGGTCCCCAACAAAGTGACTTGGTGCAATTGAGGATCATCCTCAATAAAAATGTCCTCCAATGTGTTGCCATGCTTAGTTCATTCTGATCTAGTATTTGCCACCTTGTATTCAGATACACACCTAAAGCAGGGATCATTCTTTTTGCAGGATAATTTTGGTAGACTTCATGACAGGAGCAAAGAAACACCTAAAACCATGAAACAAGTTTCTCGGCTTTTCCCTAACAAAGTGACAATTCAATTGCCTCAGGTACGTTTATGTCAGTTTCTAATCAGTTATCCTGTTATGAGTACTGAAATATTTAAGTTAATATTCCTGAATCATGTCAGGATGAAGCTTTACTTTTGGACTGGAAGCAGCAACTGGAACATGATATTGAAACTCTTAAAGCACAGTCAAATATTGCTAGCATTTTTTCAGTGCGTAAAACTAAACTCTTGATTTGTTTTTCCAGTTTTTGCACTTCCTCTTTATGCATGCCAGTCTTAGCTTTTGTTTATAGAATACGTTGCCAGAAGTGGCTTACTTTCATGAACTTGGTAAAACTTCTAATAAGTGTAGGATAATTTACTTGCTGTGATGAGAAACCAAAAGAAACTTGAAGATGGCTAAAATTAAAATTGTATGTATTCCATCCGCCAACCCCTCCCCCCCAAACAGATAGAAGCTTCCTTCTGCACCCTTTTTATATATAGAAACTAATAAAGCAGTTCATTTATTTGAACATTTGAGGTACTAGTCTCTATTTGCAGATTTTCATAACAGTTTTCTGCTATCAGGTTCTCAGTCGAAATGGTTTGGATTGCCCTGATCTTGAAACACTTTGCATTAAAGATCAAACGCTCACAAATGAGAGTTAGTATCCTCAAACTTCTTACTATATACGTACTCCATTCAAGTGTTTTCCTTTTTCTTAGATTTTAACATGTTACTATTATTTATATATAAAATTTGAGGAGTCCTTTTTAAAAAAATATATATTTAATTGATTACATTTTAAAGGTTGTCAATGAGTAAAATGTCTCCCTGAAATTCATGAAACTGGAGTACAAGTTTGGAAGGAGATAATACTAAAATCTTGTAGTATGTTTTTACTTCAATTTACTATTTTGTGCCTTCTATTATTGTAGGCGTGGAGAAAGTGGTAGGCTGGGCGCTGAGTCACCACTTAATGAATTCTTCTGAAGTTTTGATCAAAGATGCTAAACTAATAGTTTCAACTGAAAGGTCCTATTTTATATTCATTTTGCAGCCTGGATCTCTTAAATGTTAAAGGATATAATATTATTTGAACTGAAATGTCTCCATTTTGTTCTTATGCTAACCTTCTGTCTGATTTTCTGTTGCAGCATCAAATATGGGCTGAACATTTTGCAAGGCATTCAAAACGAAAGCAAAAGCTTGAAGAAATCACTTAAGGTATTATTGTCTTCTTTCTCTTAGGTTCTGTGTGTGGCCATTTCCCACTATACGATTGTCCATAATCTTTCTGGTTGTAGGGTTAGTATGTTATTGGACAAGATCTAATTTTCTTCTTTCCAGGATGTGGTCACTGAGAATGAATTTGAAAAGAAACTTCTAGCGGATGTTATTCCCCCAAGTGATATAGGGGTTAGTTTTGATGATATTGGAGCCCTTGAGAATGTCAAAGACACCTTGAAGGAATTGGTGATGCTTCCCCTTCAAAGGCCTGAATTGTTTTGCAAGGGACAGTTGACAAAGGTTCTTTCAATATGTTGTTTTGATTATTGTATGTTATTTGAAATAGTGCATTTTTGAAGTAAATCCTAATGCTGTATTACTTTCTATATTATTGCTTTTGCAGCCCTGCAAAGGAATCTTGCTCTTTGGGCCTCCTGGTACTGGCAAAACAATGCTTGCCAAGGCTGTTGCAACTGAAGCTGGTGCAAACTTTATTAACATATCAATGTCCAGCATTACATCAAAGGTATTATAAGTGCATAAAACTGTGGCATGTACGTCTTTTGGATAGCTTTTCCTTTTGATATATGAATGTAACATATTTATATGACTTGCAGTGGTTCGGTGAAGGAGAGAAGTATGTTAAAGCTGTTTTCTCTCTTGCCAGTAAAATTGCACCTAGTGTTATTTTTGTTGATGAGGTTTGACCAACTTAAGATTATTATTCTCCTTTTATTTTTGGTATTTTGTGTTTATTTCCTTCATTGTTACAAGTTTCCTCCTGTTTCTTTGGGATATGTAATTTTATTGACTTGGGTGGTTATTTTAGGTTGATAGTATGTTAGGAAGACGGGAGAATCCAAGTGAACATGAGGCTATGCGAAAAATGAAGAATGAATTTATGGTAAATTGGGACGGTCTTCGTACCAAAGATAAAGAAAGAGTATCAGTTCTTGCTGCTACAAACCGGCCATTTGACCTTGATGAGGCAGTCATCAGGAGGCTTCCTAGAAGGTAACTCTTTTGTGTTATTTCTTTGAGTTGCTGTTGTATGACCTCATGCTAAGCACCGGCGACTTTCCTGTTGAATTTTGTGCAGATTGATGGTTAATTTGCCAGATGTTCCAAACAGAGAGAAGATTCTAAGAATTATATTAGCCAAAGAGGAATTGTCACCCAATGTTGATTTGGAAGCTATTGCAAATATGACTGATGGTTATTCTGGAAGTGACCTTAAGGTTTATCTTTTAATCTTTTTATTTATCTTATTTTTGGAACTGTAAAGGAGTGTTGTGACTCGTGAGCTAGAGAATGATAGGAGTTGATCAACTGCAAAACACATTCTTATACTGACTTGAGCAGGTTAGGTTGATGTCCCTTTTATCGATGTTTATTTCCTGTGTAATTTTCTCATTGCAGAATCTTTGTGTGACTGCCGCACATTGTCCCATAAGAGAAATTTTGGAAAAGGAAAAGAAGGTCAGTTGGTTATTTTAGCTTATTCGTTATTATGATAAGTTTGCAGCTACTTGCATATCATATCATGTTGATGTTGTAAATGGTGCTAAGAAGTGGTGCATCTGTCACGGACATGGGCATTACATGTCCCAATACTGTATTTATGACAGTGGCTAGTAGTATTACATATTTTGATTACTCTTGGTCTATGCAATTCTATGTAATGGGTGATTTGACTACCTTGGTCTTGTAGGCCTAGAAGATGAAATATATTTTTCTAGCATCTGGGGTTAAGAGTTTACAAGGGAAAGAAACAATCTCTTATTATGTTGTTTAAGAATTATGAATTTCAAGTAAAATGAATAAAGTAGCAATTCCAATAACTGCAATTTTAAGTACTAATTCAAAGTTATCTAATGCAATTTGAAGTGAGGATTTCTTCTGTTGCATTATATGCTCATGTATTGGACAGAGTGAAGATAATGATACTTGGGCGGGGTTTTGATTGATACCCATCTTTGACAAACTCCTTTTATTTTACACGGAAGTTTAAATTCTGTATAAGACTACAGATTGATTATATACATATCTATCATGCAATTGCAGGAGCGAGCATTGGCGGTGGCTGAGAATAGACCGGCACCGACATTGTATAGCAGCACTGACGTTCGTCCTTTGAAGATGGATGATTTTAAATATGCACATGAGCAGGTACCATGCTATGCTCTTTATAAATTATATGGTTCTAGAGCTTCTAATTATCTATAGCTATCCATTGAAGCCTGACAAGGATTTATCTGTGGGTGCGTGTGTGAGCTTTAAGACAGACGCATGTATTTGTTGAATTGAAGTTGATATCATGTTATGATAGGAATATTGTGCTATTGAGGGGATTGGTAATGGATGCAGGTTTGTGCAAGTGTGTCGTCAGAGTCTACAAATATGAATGAGCTGCTTCAATGGAATGATTTGTATGGAGAAGGCGGATCAAGAAAGAAAAAACCTCTAAGCTACTTCATGTAGAGAGGTGGGGGGGGGGGGTTATCTTTGTGAATAGGCATAGGCATCACCATTCCTTTTTCATTTCATTCTTCGTTGTCGCCCATAAAAAGGTGGCCAAGTTCAGAGAGAGAGAGAGAGAGAGAGACCCTGTTCATGGAATTTCATTGCAGGTTCCTCCTCCTCCCTTTGTATTATAGTAAGTATATATCTATCTATATAGGTTTTCTAAATTTTCACAATCTTTTCTTGTCAGCTATATTTATATATTTTTCAAGTAGATTTACTTTATTAAAAGCCATTTTCCCATCATTCCTTGCCTATGTTTATCTTTCCTTGTCATTATGCCCTCTGCATATAAAGTACGAGTGAATTTGTATAAAAGCTTCTTTTTTCAACTCACTTTCTTAAAGGCACATTGTCAAAAATTACCTTTAATATTTAATAAAGTAATTATATCTCGTATTTTTTTTAGCATTTTGACTCATATTTTATTTTAAGGCAATAATTTTTAGTTGGGTAAAAAGTATTAGTTCACTTATGTGATGATATTTTTAATCAAGGATGTTGCTGTTCACCGGAAAAAACCTCGCATAAGTTTCACTATTTTATCCTTTGTTCACCGGGAAAAGCTATGATTTTCCAGTGATTTTCTCATTTTCTTTTCGGTTTTGGAAGGAAATAAGAACTGTTTACTTGTTGTAATAAAAAAGCAATAAAATGATAAAATAATGAAATTATTTCTTCAATCTCATATTCAAATATGTAACCCTAGAAATCAAACCACGATAAAAGTGAATCTGATGAGAGATTTGAAAAGTGCCTTTATATTATTTTGAGTTTTTGTAGGAGTTGGATTCCGAAATTTGTGAATTAATTGAACGATATAACTTAATGCAAAATTATTATAAAATTTTGGGAATTAATAAAAATTATTTTCAAGATGACCTTAAGGTGGTAATAACGTCTACATGTTTTAGGAAATTTTTATTTTTATTTTTTGCGTTAATACGACAACTAATAAGGAATATTGATTATCATAATTTAACACTGTCGTCTTAAAAATATATTTAGAGTAAATTACGTATCTAGTTATCTAATAATTATTGTGATTTTATTTTAATTATTTGATTATTTTTTAAAATCATGTCAAAAATTATGTTTTGATTACTGGTAGTTAAAAATATATAATCATTAATGTGATAATTTTTTATTTTTTTAGTTATGATATGATATTATTTTATATGATATATCGGTATTATTTTTAATTGTTTGATGATAAATGATTAACATAAAATTTAAAAAATAATTTTATATTTAAAAAAAAATTAAATTAACAAAATGAACCACATGACTAATAAGGTAACTAAATATATAATTTATTCATATATTTAATACGGTGATGTATTTAAATTGTATTCCTTATGTGGTGACAAATCGTCATTCTCAGGTTTCCGTGTTGTTTGATTTGAATGAGTGGGACTTATTGTACTCACTAACTTTACTTTTTTGCAACTGTCCAAACACGTGATTTCGATCCCACTTCTGCCGTCAATGTTGTTTTACAATTCCAGCTAATGTATCAAACTTCAAAATGATTTCTCAATTACCGAAATTTTAAAACACAATTTATTATAAGTTAAAATAATATAAATTGATTGTAACTGAATTTTATTAGGATTGTAACATTTTATATTAAATAGTCATATTTTAAGTTAAAATAAAAATATTATTTTTATATTATTTCTTATTAAAATTACAAATTTATATAATTTTTTTGATTGTAAGTCTTAATTTTCCGTAATATAACTTTTTGATTATAATAAAATAAATTATAAATTTATATAATTTTTTAACTTGAACATGAAAATATTTCTAAATTAAAACCATCTTAAATTAAATTATTGCATAATAAAAAATTATCTCTCAATTATAATATTCAAACATGTGGACTATGGTGTGCGGGAACTAAATGTTGTTTTACAATCTCTCTTTTTGTCTTAAAAGAAATAATTTTTTATAGATAGATAATGAGTGCAAGCGGCAGAAGAATGGCCGTTGGATTTGGTGGGGTTCAATGAATCTGAGTTTATAAAACATGTTGATGTCACGTGTGACCAACTCTTTTTAAGCAACATATTAAACAACATATTTTTCAAAGTTTTTGTCTTTGATTGACGTCAGCTGTGACGAATTCATTTCTTTACTCCTAACTTTTCCATAAATACTTCTACTTCTGTGGAAATTACTTGGAAACAATAGTATTTTTTTTTTAAAATTAATATTATGTGATTATTATAATGTAATGTTTATTTATAATGTTTTTGAATATAGATTAACTATTTAAATTTAAGATCTTACGACAAAGCTCCACTTAATAAGTTCAGAAATATAATATTTTTTAATATTAATTACGGTGAAATAAAAGGTGAATTTAAAATTTTACTCAATTAGACTAAATTTTTAATTTTTATAAAGTATAATAACTAAATTTTAATAAATTTAAAGAAAAAAATCAATTATTTTAAAATAAAAATTTGAAATTTTAAAAGAAAAGTACTAGTAGTACACATGAAATTTTATCAAATGTTTAATATATTTCATAAATTTTAATTTTATGTAATTGCATACCTAAAATTGTAATTCAATTTAATTTTCATATAATATTAAAATTAATCAATTGTTATCAATGATACTAATCAAACTATAAGCATAATGATGATAGAGTGACTGCGATAAGACAACGTTTTGATAATCAAAATGTTTTTTTCTTTGATTAACAATTTGGTAATTATTGAATAATACTATACATTTGATAAAATTAAAGTTTACTTGGCTTGACGTACACAATGAGAGAAGGTAAGTGCATCCGGGGCTTTTTCGACCTAAATATCACCATATTTTTCTAATATTTTCGATGTAACATCATTTTTTTAATATTTTCCAAAGTAACACTCATTCGGCTAATGTAGAACTAAGGCGCATTCCCGGGAACATGCTTTAACGAGATTTTTGCTAACAAGACGGATGGTGCATTTCAAGGGACGCTCCCTTACATGGGTTTTTGCTGACTGAGCTGCCACGTAGGATAAGGTGCTTTGTAGGAAACACGCTTTCGTGGGATTCTGTGCCACGTCGGAATGAGCGTTTTCGGGGACGCGCCTTCCATTAATAAACAACTAATTGTACCGGAACTGTTACTATAGAGAAACTCAAATCGTCCAAAATCCACTCGAATTTATTATGATATTGATATTCGAGATAGGTCAGTAGAACAAAAAAAGATGTGTGCATTGCAGACACATCAGTCACAATAGAAAAAAATGTTCAGCTCTTTTATCATCACTTAACCGTTAACCCTTACTTATGTAATTGTATTTTCTATTTCAATGTATGTTATTGTTTCTAATATTACAATGTAATTGCATTTTCTACAATTTTCCAATATATGTATATTTTCTACATAAATTCACACTTACCTCTTACTTCAAGTGATTAACATTTTCATTTTAATCGAACCTTACCCTAAACCACTTTATCATAGACAACCCTTAACCGCTCTTACCTTAAAAAACCCTAAACCACTTTAACCTATAAAATCTTTCATCACTTTCACCTTAACGAACCCTATACCACTTTAACCTAAAATCACTCTAATCTAAATAAATTTTTTAAAAATACCTTTGACCATTCTTAAATCATAACTGAAACCTTTTACCTAATAAATTATCAAATTCTAATAACCCTAAATCACCATCACATTTAACCCTAAACCCTAAACTAAAACCCTAATTTCAAACTAGGTGACCATAAACCCTAAATAAAAACCCTAATTCAAAACCAAGTGAAAAGTATGTTCCCCTAAAAGAGCTTTTGAAAGGCGTCTCCTGAAACGCTCTTTCCACCGTAGTGCTACACTAGTTGGAAGGAGCTTCCTCTAAAACGTGCCTTCACTCCACATCAGCAAATCCCGCGAAGGCGTTGTCCCGAAAACGATACTTAATTCCACATCAGTCGAATGGGTATTACTTTGAGAAATATTGAAAAAAGGGTGTTACATCGGGAATATTAAAAACATTGGGTGATATTTAGGTGGAAAATCCGCATCTGGTGGCCCCACAAACGAGACATGATTGACCTTTACGCAATTCAATTTGTTTTCTTAAAACTTCAATGTGTTGTGTATCTGCCCTACGCGCCCTAACCCAACACAAACTTTTGCACTCCACGTAATTTTTTAAGACCCCCGCATCCTTAAATTATTTACGGTAAATTACAAACTTTTATCTCCTAATTTTACCCTTTTTTTTGTCACTCTTCCATTTCTCAACTACTTTCATTAACTCATTTAATAATTTCCAACCATGTAGGAACCAATTCAAATTTCGACTATCATTTATCGATACTAGTTACCACATCAATTAGCGACAACAATGATGTTTAGACCTCAATTTTTTCAAATTTTTTCATCTTTTTTTCAAAGTCTGAATTAAATATTTGATTCACATATGTCTCACTAAACCAACAACTATTATCCACGATTCATTTCATCACCACATTCAACATCAACCATCAGTGCGTCCACCGAAACACCAACAAATTGACACTAACTATCCTATTAACTTCATCATTAAACCAACAACCAAACTATATTTTGCCCATGACCCGAACCATCATAGCCCAAATCAACCATCAACCATTACCTACAAATCCTAATATATTACCACTCCTTTCAACTCAAAAACATCATTCTTCTTCATTTTAACTTGAACCAGCGTTGTACCACAACCACTTCATCGTCACCTAATCTGAAACCTTTTTCCCTAACCAAATCAAAACCTTTACAGACAAAAGATAAGCTAGGAAATCATTAAGAAAAAAAAAGAAAGGGAAATGAATAAAAAGTATTGAGTTTCCCCATTTTTAGCTATCAAAGTATTATTCCTTTGATCTCAGAAATAGAAGAGTCTAACTCAACAAGGAGAACAACATATCTCGAACACATCATGATATGACAGTTGAAATAGTAGATAAAAAATGAAGATAAAGTTTTAACTGAAATTTAACAACTTTTGAAAGATTTTGGGTGAAATGTAATTTGTAAATGAAAGATAACAAAAGATGAAGCTCTTGGTGTATAGTTTGATTGTCAATGTCATAAAAAATCGATAGTTTTGTGAGATAAGAAAAACAACGACCCTAAATTCACAGAGTTTGAGGTGTTTTTCAATTAAATGGACATCAAATTCGTATTCAAGAGGGTGAAACAAATTTTGAGACTCAACAACCACCGTTGACGGCAATCGATGATGGTCCCTACGATGATCATAATTTAAACAGATGGAGAGCAAATAAGATAATAAAAAGGAAGAAAGAAGATTTTATATAGATCTAAAACGACGTTGTTTGATATAAAATTTACTTTACCAAAAGAAACCATTTTAGTTCCATTGTCATGTCATAGTATCATTAACCATTTAACGATATAATAAAAATAATAACAATTAAAAAATTTAATGATTATATTAAAAAATAAAATTTAATCATCGAAATATAAGTAAAAAAAATCAATTATAAAATTTATAATTTATCCATATATTTATAGAATTGTACAATATGTAAAAAGAATAGTTTAACATGTATGCTTGATACAATGAGAAACTCATCAAGAATTGCATTCGACTTTTTGAAGTTGTCGATAGTTATGTATAATTAAGTCCCTTAATAAATTTGAGCTATTCACATTTTCCTAATTTTACCAATTATTTAAAAATGAAACCAATAATTAAATAAAGAACTATATAATAAGGTTATAGAAAATGTGACATACTACGACCAAATCCGTGTTATCCGTCGAGCATGGCAAATTCCAACCGGAAAGTAATCACACGAGAACAGTGTTGCACGTGGGCACAGAAATTCCAGTTTTACAATTATCACGATGGCAAATTCCTGTAATCAAAGTAAAAATGAGAACAACAAAACTCTATTCTCATATATAACCAAACAAAACAATCGATCACATAAAGGTTCTATCTCAATCTGTCAGGAACCAATGCAAAATCGCCTTATCTTAACGTCTATTACGGGAATACAAACGTTGATTTTTGTCCAGAAAAAAGAATACATGGAGAGAAAAAAACACTTTAAATTGGACAGCGAATGTCAAGTTTATCAAACCAAATAATCAAAACAGCGAAATCGAACTGTTCGAGTGTTTTCGCATTTATTAACATTTGTTTTCTTACAACCAGGCGTTCTCTGGCTTCTGCTTGAATGTTTGGGGCACTTTAAAACGTGCTGAACGGATTTTTCACGTGGTATTTGGCTTTGGGTTAGGGTTTTTTATTGTGGTGCAAAATCTCTGGAGATTGCAGCAATGTTTACTTTGGCTTTTCTTTTTTTCCCAACTTAGTTGCAGGTTCTTTCCATGGATTATTCTGTCGTGCATGGTGTTTTATTGTTATAAAAGTTCTATTGATTGTCTTCTCTTTTAGTGGATTGTTTTTCCTAGACTTCATTGATTGGTTTTCTTTGTATTTTTTTTCCTTTCAAAATACAGTACATATAAGTATAACATGTGAGATTCAACAGTACGTATAGAGTATTTGATTCTAATCAAATTTACTTGTTTGACAAGTATGGGAAATGGGATATTCTCTTGGTCAAATTCTATATTTGTTGACTATAGCCGCCTCAAGCGCTCTTAAGAGCTCCAGCACGACTCGTTCATTTATTTTCAGATTATATAGCAGAGACCATTGTCTCCTCCTGCACCCACCTTTGCCTTAAAAGCTTTTCTTCTTTTTTGCAGGCTTCACGTTAGAGATGGCAGCCCATGCTTAAAAGTCCAAAGCTTTTGAGGTATTTCTACGGTTGTCAATCAGCGAAGCTAAAAATCTTCACTGATTTGAAGTTATATTCGTTCTTCTAAAAGTTCATTTTCGGTTTTGCAAAACGTGAATTTGCCTCTCTTTTTTCTTATTACTTATCATTCATCATCAAATTTTCCTGTTCTCTTCTTGTTGTTTTGTTGTTATTAGCATTATTTTTTTGGATTATCCATTTGTAGACACAAGGTGATATATAGGTATTTTTTACAGGTGATGGAAGGGAATATTAATATATTGATTGGAATCATCAATCTCTGAAACGGAAAATTGTTATTTTTTGTTTTATTTCACGTCCAAGTCTGAGTGAATATGTCTTCAGCTACTTGGATTACTTCCCTTTCATGTTCAAGCTCTGTGATTGAATTCTCCAAGGAGACGACATCTATTCCTGTTATATTCCAATGGCTGAGATTCATTTTCCTCTCCGCATGTCCTCAAAGGGCACTCTTATCCGCCGTTGATCTCTTGTTCTTGCTCACCCTCCTATGCTTTGCTGTTCACAAGCTCTATTCTAGATTCTCAGGCAATCGCCATGGCAGCTCCGACATCAATAAGCCTCTCGTAAGAAATAACAGGGCGCTTATCAAGACAACCCTATGGTTTACACTCTCTTTGATTGTGACGGCTGTGTTGGTGTTTTCTTACACTATTGTATGTATTCTCGCATTTACTACAAGTAGCCAGGAGCCATGGAAGCAACTTGATGGAATATTTTGGTTAGTTCAAGCCATAACTCATGTTGTGATTGCAATCTTAATCATCCACGAGAAGAGATTCGAGGCTGTTAATCACCCTTTGTCTCTTCGAGCTTATTGGTTTGCGAATTTTATCGTCATTTCCTTGTTCGCTGTGTCCAGTATCATTCGTGTGGTGTCTGTTGAAACATTCGAATATAAGTATTTGGGGTTGGATGATATTGTTTCCTTCGTTTCTTTTCCATTATCAGCTGTTCTTCTTCTTGTCGCCATTAGAGGTTCAACTGGTATAACGGTGACCAGAGAATCCGAATCAACAATGAATGATGAAGAAGAAGAGTTACTTGAGCCGCTTTTGAGCAAACCGAAAGTGAGTGGCTTTGCTTCCGCTTCTATAGTATCAAAGGCCTTTTGGATATGGATGAATCCTCTGTTGAGAAAAGGCTACAAATCCCCTCTCAAAATGGAAGAAGTCCCAACTTTGTCACCCGAACATCGGGCCGAGAAGATTTCGAAGCTCTTTGAAGTGAATTGGCCTAAACCGCACGAAAAATTGAGCCACCCTGTTCGAACTACACTGCTAAGATGCTTTTGGAAGGAAGTTGCTCTCACTGCATTCCTTGCCATAGTGCGGCTCTGCGTTATGTATGTTGGTCCTGTACTGATCCAAAGCTTTGTTGATTACACCTCCGGGAAACGAAGCTCGCCGTATGAAGGGTATTATCTTATATTGATTCTACTCGTAGCTAAGTTTGTTGAAGTGTTGACGACTCATCAATTCAACTTCAACTCTCAGAAACTCGGGATGCTCATTCGCTGCACTCTCATCACTTCTTTATACAAGAAGGGCTTAAGGTTAACCTGCTCTGCTCGTCAGTCTCATGGTGTTGGACAGATTGTGAATTACATGGCTGTTGATGCTCAACAGCTCTCTGATATGATGTTGCAGCTCCATTCTATTTGGTTGACTCCTTTGCAAGTTGCAGTCGCCTTGGTGCTTTTGTTTAGGTATCTCGGCGCTGCAATAGTCACTGCAGTGCTCGGACTTCTCGGCGTTTTTATCTTTGTTATAATGGGAACTCGAAGGAACAACCGGTTTCAATTCAATGTGATGAAGAATCGCGACAAGAGGATGAAGGCCACCAATGAGATGCTTAATTACATGCGGGTGATCAAGTTCCAGGCGTGGGAAGAACACTTCAATAAAAGAGTCCAATCTTTTCGTGAAACCGAGTTCGGATGGCTAAGCAAATTCTTGTATTCAATCTCTGGAAATATCGTAGTGATGTGGTCAACACCACTACTGATATCTACCCTCACATTTGCGACTGCACTTCTGTTAGGAGTGAAACTTGATGCAGGGCTCGTGTTCACGACAACAACGATCTTCAAGATCTTGCAGGAGCCAATAAGGAACTTCCCGCAATCCATGATCTCCCTTTCGCAAGCAATGATTTCACTGGAGAGATTGGATACTTACATGATGAGCAAAGAATTGGTGGAATCGTCGGTGGAGAGACAGGAGGGTTGTGATGGTAGAATTGCCGTGGAAGTTAAAAATGGGGTGTTTAGCTGGGATGATGAAAAAGGAGAGGAGGTTCTGAAAAATATCAACTTAGAGGTCAAGAAAGGGGAGCTTACAGCTATAGTCGGGACTGTTGGATCAGGAAAATCTTCTCTTCTGGCTTCGATTCTCGGTGAGATGCACAAAATATCAGGAAAGGTATAAAGTCTGGGAACTAAGTTTATCTTTGATATATACAACTGTGAATATTTAAACCCTAGACCCTAGACCATTACTAATAACATGCGACTTGGAGTACAATCAACATAACAATGCAAAAGACAAGGAATGTTTGCTAAATACAGTTTTTTCCATGACAGGTTAAGCTTTGTGGTTCAACTGCATATGTAGCTCAAACATCTTGGATTCAGAATGGGACGATTAAAGAGAACATCCTGTTTGGTCTGCCGATGAACGAGGAGAAATACAGGGAAGTTGTAAGGGTTTGTTGTTTGGAGAAAGATTTGGAAATGATGGAATTTGGTGATCAGACTGAAATCGGAGAACGTGGGATTAACCTCAGCGGTGGCCAGAAGCAACGGATACAACTCGCAAGAGCTGTTTACCAAGATTGTGACGTATACTTTCTTGATGACGTCTTTAGTGCCGTTGATGCTCATACAGGGACAGATATATTTAAGGTAACATTAGCATTTTTGTGTGATTCATTTTAAGCCTAGCAATCGTTGGAAAGAAATGATACGTCATTGATGTATGTTTATTTTGTATGCTTTTTATCTGCAGGAATGTGTGAGAGGAGCTCTCAAGGGGAAGACTATTTTGCTTGTAACCCATCAAGTGGACTTCTTGCACAATGTTGATCTCATCATGGTAAGTAGGATAGACATTATCTGTTTCCTGGAAAAGACACAGGCCTGCACATGCACACATATAAGAGTATTGACGTTTCTAAAATGTTTGTGTAAATTCCAGGTGATGCGAGATGGGATGATAGTACAGTCGGGGAAGTATAACAATCTACTAGACTCTGGCTTGGATTTCGGAGCTCTTGTAGCTGCACATGAAACGGCTATGGAACTTGTAGAAGCAGGCAACAACATGCCTGGTGAAAATTCCAACAATGCATCCAAACCTTCTCAGGGTGCTTCCAACCTTGGGGAAGCAAATGGTGAGTCTCAAGACCACACAAAATCCGGTAAGGGGGATTCTAAGCTAATCAAAGATGAAGAGAGGGAAACTGGTAAAGTCAGCTTCCATGTGTACAAGATGTACTGCACTGAGGCTTTTGGCTGGTGGGGTGTGGCTGCAGTTCTGCTATTATCTCTTTCATGGCAAGGTTCTCAAATGGCCGGTGATTATTGGCTATCATATGAAACTTCAGCCGAACGAGCTCTTTCTTTCAACCCTTCAGTATTTATTTCTGTTTATGCCATCATAGCAGCCGTGTCTGTGGTGTTGATAATGTTCAGGGCATTTTTTGTTACACTCATGGGGCTTAAGACAGCCCAAATCTTTTTCGGGCAAATCCTTCACAGCATCCTGCATGCCCCTATGTCCTTTTTCGACACCACACCTTCAGGAAGAATTTTAAGTCGGGTAAGGTTTCGAAGACTGGATTTTGGCACTTTCACTTAGCAGCATATTTGCATATCATCTGTCATTTTTATATTATTGATGAAAAGAAATAATTGGAGTCAATGGTTCCAAGAAAAAAATGATCGGATATCTTGGTATCTTAGGACTAACATATTATTTTTTTATTATCAACAGGCATCAACTGATCAGACCAACGTTGATATCTTCGTTCCATTCGTCATGGGCCTTACCGTTGCCATGTACATTACACTGCTCAGCATCTTCATAATCACATGTCAATACGCCTGGCCAACAATATTCTTGATAATTCCTCTTGGTTGGCTGAATTTCTGGTATCGGGTATGTGTCTTACACGCAAATTTAAAGAATTCTTTTCACTCACCACATTATGTTAAATCTTAAACATTTGCATGGAGATCTAGTTTCTTTCTTGATGATATTCATTTTTCTTGAATAAAGGGGTACTACCTTGCATCATCTCGAGAATTAACTCGCCTTGACTCGATCACTAAAGCACCTGTCATTCATCACTTCTCGGAAAGCATCTCTGGAGTTATGACAATCCGCGCATTCAAAAAGGAGGATAGTTTCTGTCAGGAAAATGTTAACAGAGTTAATTCCAATTTACGCATGGATTTCCACAACAACGGATCAAATGAATGGTTGGGCTTCCGTTTGGAACTTATTGGGAGCGTAATCCTCTGCCTTTCAACCTTGTTTATGATCATGTTACCTAGCAGCATTGTCAGGCCAGGTAATTGTAATGCAAATCTTTGTTCCACTAATCTCTTTATGATTTCCTTGTTGAAACACAAAGCATTTGATCATTTGAACATATGTCATGGTCCTGATACCATGCTCTATGTTAAAGAAGATGAATGCACACTGTCATGCCACTTTTATACACTAAATTCTTTTATCTGTAGCACTTGCTTGTGATCATCTGATGATATCATGTGCCTGATTCAGCTCAGCCGAAGGCTGGCGAAAGATACTAATTTGATAGACATTATATGTGTAATTGGCCTAGTGCCCTCAAAGTATAAGAATGTTTGAAAAAAATTGACTTTTTTGCATAATGCAGAGAATGTCGGGTTATCTCTTTCATATGGATTGTCCCTCAACAGTGTATTGTTCTGGGCCATATATATGAGCTGCTTTGTGGAAAATAGGATGGTTTCTGTTGAAAGAATAAAGCAATTCTCAAAGCTTGAGCCAGAAGCAGCATGGCATATCGAAAACCGCCTTCCCCCTCCGAATTGGCCTGCCCAAGGCAATGTTGAGCTCAAAGACCTACGGGTAACTTTGCTCTTACACTATTCTTTCTATAATTTATTTCGAGCTACATGCTTTGCAGGAGTTGATTATCAGTTCTTTAACTGGACTGAACTACTGCTAACAATTTTTGTTAACAGGTTAGATACCGTCCAAGCACGCCTCTTGTACTTAAAGGCATTACTCTGAACATTAATGGTGGTGAAAAGATCGGTGTTGTTGGTCGGACCGGGAGTGGGAAGTCGACTTTAATCCAAGTTTTCTTCAGACTGGTTGAGCCAACAGGAGGGAAAATAATTATTGATGGCATAGATATATGTATGTTGGGACTTCATGATCTTAGGTCACGCTTCGGGATCATCCCTCAAGAACCTGTCCTTTTCGAAGGAACTGTTAGAAGCAACATTGATCCTGTAGGGCAGTATTCAGATGAAGAGATATGGAAGGTAAACATGTTATTCCAATAACAATATGAACCATTATAGGCCGTGCAAGCATATTTATAGATATTTCTTCTTCTCACTAGAGAAGTTTATTGCTTTTTGCAGAGCCTTGAGCGCTGCCAACTTAAAGATGTGGTTGCTTCGAAACCAGATAAACTTGATTCTTTAGGTAAGCAACTATCAACTTGTTTCTAGTCTAGCTATCGAAATAGTGCCTAAGCAAAGCCATTTTAATTAACAGTGGCCGACAATGGCGATAACTGGAGCGTGGGGCAGAGGCAGCTTCTGTGTTTGGGGAGAGTTATGCTTAAGCGCAGCAGGCTTTTGTTCATGGATGAGGCAACTGCATCCGTCGATTCGCAAACTGATTCCATAATCCAAAAGATCATCAGGGAAGACTTTGCAGCCTGCACAATCATCAGCATCGCTCATAGAATACCAACAGTCATGGACTGTGACAGGGTTTTAGTTGTCGATGCAGGTGCGTCTTTCTTTCTCTTACCTATTTCACTCTCAGCTTAGTAGCATGAACCCATGCCAAACTTCAATGCAAAGCTTCCATGGATCATTTTGTCACATGAATTTTATAGCTAATGCCTATCTTCTTTAATAACACAGGAAAGGCTAAAGAATTCGACTCACCGTCACGCTTGCTCGAAAGGCCAACACTCTTTGCAGCGTTGGTTCAAGAGTATGCCAACCGCTCTTCTGGACTATAACAGAATCTTGTGACAGATTTTCAGACTACCGGCGCCTAAAATCCCATAGGTGATATATTTTTTATGTAACAAACGTAACATGTAAGAGCTGTAGCTGCTAATTAACCTAATATACTTACAGCTATGGGGAATGTTCTATTTACAGTAAACGTTTAGCAAAATGTAATCTTCTCTTTTAGCTATCTATATAAAAATGTACTCGTTTCATCCATTTCTTTTTCTTTAGCATGGATTTCTCTATATTAGATTATTGATCTTTGGTCAGTGAATTGAAAATATTACCAAACCAAAAATGAACTTTCATGGTAAGATTCATTTACAAAACATCAATAGAGGGCATTGTAAGAACAAAAAGGAAAAATGGATTTACAGAGGGAAAAGAAGTAACTGATGATCAGACGCCAAGGAATGCCCGACACTGAGATTCCCAATGTCCCTTTGCCTGCCGAATTCTCTCCAATCTTTCCGTCTCAAGCCGCTGCTCATAAACTCCATGATCCCAGTATCCGTGGTAGCTGTTCAGAAAAATCCATGATCCCAGTAAGAACATATGAACAAGTGTTCTGTCAAAAAGTAATGACAAACATAATAATCGCACAATTAAATAGATACTAATGGTGTAGCCATAGGATCGTACCTTCTCCTTAATAATGTAACAAGTTCATCCAAATGGACAGCACCTTCATAAACTCCAGCCTGAAACTCAGAAGAAAAACAAAATATGCAGAGATTTACGTCTACTTTCATAACATAAAGTGATCATTCTTTAATAATTATGGGACCAATGGACACTCACCTGTCGACATAAAAGACACCTTTCTTTTGGATTGGCTGCTTTCAGTCCATCGATAATGGTCATCGATGCAGATGAACAAGCGCAAATGTAGCAGAATATATGGCCACAAGTGAGGGAAACTGGATCAAATAATGTATCCTGCTACATCAAGGATGAAGATGAATGTCTTGTATCAGTGAAAAGCAAGCAATTTCATGCACTTTGTTTTGAGGGTAAATCAGTTTTATCGATGGATGGTACTCACAAAGTGTTCCATATCAGTTGAAATCTTTCAACTTACCAAACATATAGAACAATTCGAATCAATATCAGGCTTTATAGAATCAAAGAGTTCAAGCATAACCCAGAATATATAATGAAATTACAAGGCCAATCTATATTTGGTAAAATATATAAATAGTGTTGACTAAAGCACCGAAAGGTGCATACAATTAATGTACCGAAAGGTGCACAGTGGATTTTGTGGAAATTTAGAAAATTGTAAAATCATTTTTAGTCATTGTAATTTAAGGTATTTATAAATTAGTCCTTAAGCTTTAAATATAAATACCTTAGCTCATTTAACTTCAAAACTATCCCAAATCATTCTAGATTTCTTCCAATACTAGAGAATTTAGAGAGTTTATTGAGAGTTGTTTTCTCCTTTTTATCAAGAGAGAATTATCATTGTTTTCTCATTGGTAGATCGAGAGAAGTTGTAATTCCTATTTTCTCATAGTGAAATTCTTCTACCGTTGCCCGTGGTTTTTACCCTATATTATTTAGGGTTTTCCACGTAAATTTTGTGTCTCTTTTATCTTCAATTTTTATTTTCTCAAATTATTAGCTGCGATTTTTCTCTATCCGATAGCCGTCTTCCGCAACAATTGGTATCCGAGCCAGATTTGAGTGTGTAATATCTGCTTATTGTCTTTGTGGTTGCCACCAAAAGGTGGATCCTCCAACATAAGAAAGTAAGAAGGTATTACCCATTCTTTGAAGGTTCCAGAGAACTATTCACGATAATGAAAAAGTGGGAGCTATCCGTAATAGAAGCTATGGCAACGAAATTTGATATTGAAAAATTCAATGAGAGAAATTTCTCTTTGTGAAAATTAAAGATGAAGGCAATCATGAGGAAAGACGGTTGTCTAGCAGCTATTAGTGAAAGGCCGATAGATTTCACAGATGACAACAAATGATCGAAATGGACGGGAATGCTATAGCAAACTTTCATCTAGCACTAGCATATGAAGTATTGTCAAGCATCGAGGAGAAGAAGACAACTAAGGAGATATGAGATCATCTAACCAAATTGTACGAGGCCACATCGTTGCACAATAAAATTTTCCTTAAGAGAAAATTGTACACACTCCGTATGTCAGAATCTACTTCAGTGATGGAGCACTTAAACAAGCTGAACACTTTATTTTCTTAGCTTACATCCTTAAGATGTACAATAGGAGAACAAGAACGTGTTGAACTTCTACTTCAAAGTCTAACTGATTCGTATGATCAACTTAACATCAACTTGACAAATAGTAATGTCACCAGTCTAGTCTTCGATGACGTTGCAGCTGCTATTCTACAAGAAGAAAATCGGCGCAAGAACAAGGAAGACAGATAAGTAAATCTGCAACAAGCATAAGCGTTGACAACGATGAGAGGTGAGATCAACAGAACGTGGCCAAAGTAGCAGTCACAAACATGGTAGATCGAAGTCGAGGAGCAAGAAGAATTTAAAGTGCTACAACTGTGGAAAGAATGGTCACTTGAAGAAGGATTGTTGGAGTCTAAATAAAAACTCCAATCCAAAAGGCAATACTGCAAACACTTCAGATGATGGAGATGCTCTATGCTCTGAAGCGTCAACCACCGTGGAAGGAAGAAAACGATTTGCAGATATATGGCTCATTGATTCGGGAGCAACATATCACATGACCTCAAAAAGAGAATGGTTTCATCATTATGAACCTGTCTCAGGAGGATCTGTGTATAGTTGCAATGATCATGCCTTAGAGATCGTTGGCGTGGGAACCATCAAATTGAAGATGTACGATGGAACAATTAAAGTTGTTCGAGATGTGCAGCACGTGAAAGGCATGAAGAAAAATTTATTATCCTACGGATTGTTAGATAATAATGCAAGCAAGATTGAAAGACAGAAAGGAATCATGAAGGTGTTTCGTGGAGCAAACTTGTACATGCTGAAAGGAGAGACTTTGCTAGAAGCAGAAGCCTATGTTGCCTCATGTAGTTCAGATTCTGCAATGTTATGGCATCAGAAACTTGGACACATGTCTATTCAAGGAATGAAATTCCTTGTGGAGCAAAAGCTACTTCCAGGCTTAACAAAGGTATCACTGCCTTTGTGTGAGCATTGTATAACAAGTAAGCATCACCGGTTGAAATTCAACACGTCAAATTCTAGAGGTAAAAGTGTTCTAGAATTGGTTCACTCTGACGTATGACAAGCACCAGTTACATCCCTATGTGGAGCAAAATGCTTTGTCTCATTTATTGATGACTACTCCAGGAGATGTTGGGTATACCCTATTAAAAAGAAGTCAGATATGTTTTCAACTTTCAGAAACTTCAAAGCGCGGGTGGAACTTGATTCTGGAAACAAGATCAAGTGTTTCAGAACAGATAATGGAGGAGAATACACAAGCGAAAAATTTGATGAATTTTGCAGGTCATCAAAAGGCAGTTCATAGTGGCAAACACTCCTCAACAAAATGGAGTGGCAGAGCGGATGAACAAAACCTTGTTAGAAAGAACAAGAGAAATGTTGAGGGATGCAGGCATAGAAAAATCATTCTGGGCAGAAGCAGTCAATACCGCCTGTTATTTGGTGAATCGAGCTTCATCAACTGTAATAGAGCTGAAGACACCAATGGAGATGTGGACTGGTAAACCAGGTGATTATTCAAACCTCAATGTATTTAGAAGTATTGTGTATGTGATGTACAACTCCCAATAAATTTCAAAGCTGGATCCAAAATCCAGGAAATGCAAATTCTTGGGGTGTGCTGATGGAGTAAAGGGGTATCGCTTGTGGGATCCCACTGTCCGCAAAGTGATCATCAGCAGGGATGTTATCTTTGTAGAAGATAAACTACAAAGAAAAGAAGACGAAGATATCGCTGAAAAGTCAGAGACTACACAAATACATGTGGAAAATGAGGTTGAACAAGGAGATTCTTCTGAAGCATAACCAACACATGATGAACAAGAACCAGAGAGTTCTGAAGCTCCAAAAACTCGTCAATCAGATCATGTGAGAAGACGTCCCAATTGGCACTCAGATTATTTTATGAAAGTAATATTGCATACTGCCTTTTAACAGAGGACGGCGAGCCATTAACATACCAGGAGGAAATAAACAGCTCAGATGCTTCACTGTGGATGATGGCGATGCAAGAAGAAATTGAAGCCCTTCATAAAAATAATACATGGGACCTTGTGCCACTACCACAAGGAAGGAAGCCAATTGGTAACAAATGGGTCTTCAAAATCAAGCGAAATGGTGACGATCAAGTTGAGAGGTATCGTGCAAGACTGGTGGTCAAAGGATATGCTCAAAAAGAATGTATTGATTTCAATGAAATCTTTTCTCCTGTGGTTCGACTAACAACAGTTCGAGTAGTTTTGGCAATGTGTGCTACATTGAACTTACATCTAGAGCAACTAGATGTTAAAACAGTTTTTCTTCATGGAAATCTTGAAGAAGAGATTTATATGCTTCAACCTGAAGGTTTTGAAGAAAAAGAAAAGAAGAACTTGTTTTGCAGGTTGAACAAATCTCTGTACGGTCTAAAGAAAACGCCGAGGTGTTGGTATAAGAGATTTGATTCCTTCATTATGTGCCTTGGATACAACAGACTTAATGCAGACCTTTGTGCTTATTTCAAGACGTATGGTGATAACGATTTTGTTATATTGCTGTTGTATGTGGATTACATGTTGGTTGCAGGACCCAACAAAGATCATATTGAATAATTGAAGGCACAAATGGATAGGAAATTTGAAATGAAGGACTTGAGATCAGCAAACAAGATTCTAGGGATGCAACTTCACCGAGATAGAAATAATAGGAAGATTTGGATTTCACAAAAGAATTACTTGAAGAAGATCTTGTCACGATTTAGCATGCAAGATTGTAAGCCAATTTCTACCCCTCTTCCTATTACCTTCAAATTATCCTCCAGTATGAGTCCTAGCAGTGAAGAAGAGAGGATAGAGATGTCTCAAGTACCGTATGCATCGGCAGTGAGAAGTTTAATGTTCGCTATGATATGCACAAGACCAGACATTGCACAAGCAGTGGGAGTGGTTAGTCAGTACATGGCGAATCCAGGCAAAGAGCATTGGAATACAGTAAAGAGGATCCTGAGATACATCAAAGGGACCTCAAATGTTGCATTATATTACGGAGGATCAGATTTACTTATCAATGGGTATGTTAATTCTGACTATGCAGAGGATTTGAATAAAAGCAAATCTACTATATGATATGTGTTCAAAATTGCTGGTGGAGCTGTAAGCTGAGTTTCAAAATTGCAGTCAGTTGTGGCTACATCCACAACAGAGGCAAAATATGTAGCAGCTACACAAGCCAGTAAAGAAACAATTTGGTTGAAGATGCTATTGGAGGAGCTTGGGCACAATCAAGAGTATGTCTCTCTGTTTTGTGACAGTTAAAGGGCCTTGCATCTAGCAAGGAATCCATCATTTTATTCAAGGACAAAGCACATACGAGTTCAATACCATTTCATTCGTGAAAAGGTGGAAGAAGGGACGATAGATATGCAGAAGATCCATACCAAAGACAACATAGCAAATTTCATGACGAAGGCGATCAATGTTGATAAATTTACTTGGTATCGATCCTCCTGCGGTATGTCAGAGACGTAAGCAATATGAAGGTACAAGGTAGAAAGAATGATATGAAGATATGATTGTTCCAATCAAATCTTCAAGTGGGAGATTGTTGACTAAAGCACCGAAAGGTGCATATAATTAATGCACCGAAAGGTGCACAATGGGTTTTGTGGAAATTTGGAAAATGGTAAAATCATTTTTAGTCATTGTAATTTAGGGTATTTACAAATTAGTCCTTAAGCTTTAACTATAAATACCCTAGCTCATTTAGCTTCAAAACCATCCCAAATCATTCTAGATTTCTCCCAATATTAGAGAATTTAGAGAGTTTATTGAGAGTTGTTTTCTCTTTTTTATCAAGAGATAATTATCATTGTTTTCTCCTTGGTAGATCGAGAGAAGTTGTAATTCCTATTTTCTTATAGTGAAATTCTTCTACCATTGCCCATGGTTTTTATCCTATATTATTTAGGGGTTCTTCACGTAAATTTTGTCTCTTTTATCTTTATTTTTATTTTCTCAAATTATCAGTTGCGATTTTGCTCTATCCGATAGCCGTCTTCCGTAACAAGTAGTCCTACGAATTATAAATATTTTTTGCGTTGACTATAAAAGTTCATAAAATAGTCACCACCTTGAAAAAGTAACAAATTGATAGTTATTCGTTAAAATATATTTATTTTAATTTAATTTTAATTCTAAAAAATTAATCTTTAATATTTTAATATTGTACCAATTTAATTCTAACAACTCATTTAATCCTTCTTTCCTGAGAAGTTCATCCGAAGAAAAGCAAGCTCCATCTCTTATCTTTTGTTTGATTGTTAAGAAAATCTGGACTTTTATGAGAAAATAAGAAAAATGTACTTGATTTTTTTTTTCAATTCTTCCAACTTCAGCCTAGAAGAATACAAATCAGCGACCCTTTTTAATTTATTATCTCAAATTTGAATTTTCTGAAATTTTCCTTTGAACTCACCTTCTGATTTAACAAGTCACTACATATGTATCTTTCTCTTCTTTATCACTGAAAAAATGTAAAATTTATCTTCATGTCCCGAAATGTCGTCGTCCTCTTTTGGAAAGCTATTGAGATATTTTCTCTTTTCTTTATTATAAAATTCAAATATTTAAAAAATTAAAAATTAATTACTAGAAAAAACTTAAACTACCCTTGAAACACCTAAACCATTAACTTAAAAAAATGATTCAAGACCTGAAAAGTGTTTTCAGTGTACGCATCTTTTAGGGATATTATCAGGATTGACAACCTATAAAAAAACATCTTTTTACATGATATCAAATGCGAGTCGAACATCTTTTTTATACATTTTAGATGAAATGACCAAAGTTATTGGTGAGCATATAAAAGGGGGCATAGAATTTTATTCTTATGGAGCAACGATACAAACCATCTTAACCACACAAAACTGTAAAGTTGTGAGATTTATTTGAGCAAAGAGCTGAAAATAGATAAAAGCGTGAGAGCTACCGGAAGAAATGTGGGTGTGAAGTGTTGAAGTGCATGAGCATATCAGGACCAACATTCCCTCCCTTGAGAAAATGGGAATACCAATATGAAGATAACTTGGGTTGTCTCTTCAAATCCGGATCATCCAAATCTACGTAATACAATCCGAAACTCAATTCATAACCATCTAGCATCTCCGGCACATCTAGGAACGACCATACAAAGTACCCTCTTGTATCCGATCCATTCTTTTCAACAGTTTTTAAGAAAGGATTAATATGTCCTGTACTTGTAATATTTGCATATCTTAATTGAAAAATGAAGCTGCCTTACCTTATTGCATCCAGCGTACTCCCCATGTATGCCTGCAGATATTCCACTCTCGATGTGTCTGCTAAGGTCGAATTGCGCTTCATTCTCTGACCTGCCAACACACCACATGTTCCCACGTGCATCACGGTGCATGTGTGGGAGATAGAGAAAGAGAGAGATACCGTTTTCGACAATGTAAACAAGATTTCTTAATGCCGTTTATAAGAAATGGTACAAATTTTATTTATTTAAAAAGAATGAATGTTACGGTATTTGAAGAAACACGTTTAAAGATGATTTTTTATATATTTATTTAGAGAAGACGTCGAATCTTTCACACGTTTTGAAAACACTAGTTTTTTTCCATTTGATTTTTTTTATTTTTTTTATATTTATTTATTACTATTATTATTATTATTATTATTAAATATTATTATTATTACATTGCAGGCCCAAATCAGACCTAACCCAATTACTATTACAGACCCAATAGTGACTGGCCCGAACAGATGGCCCAAACCCACCAAAAACCCTAAAACCCAACTAAGGTTTCCATCTAAGCTTCCAGCCGCCTCCCCTTGTCAGCCGTTGGATTTAACTTAGATCCAACGGTCCAGATGATCCCAGCAACAAACCCTAGGGTATCATCACCCTAGGGCCACGCGACCGTCGCCTCCTCCAAGAGCATTCCAACCGCCCCACGTCTACACCTCCACTGCCAGATGCCATGCCTCCACGCTGCTACCCTCGTCGAAGGCTCCAGAAGACCCAGATGGCCACCCACGTTGCTGCTCTAGGGGTGAGTCACCACATAGTTCGGTGACTCATCGAGAAATCCCTTTGGGATCGGTCCAATGAGAACCTCATCAAAGCTATAAAGCCTTGGCTCACCTGCAAACAAAGAGGAGGGAGAGGAAGATAACCAAGATACAGAGAAAGAGAACAATAGAAAAAAGGGAGGAGGAGAGAACGGCCACGAAGCACAATCAACAACCAACTGAGAAAAGAGAAGAAAACTTACCCTGCTCGTCAGTTTCACCGTGAAAACCGAAGGTAATACCTACGGTTTTGTTTAGATTTACAGAAATCTAGAGGATTTTTAGCAAAACTCACTTTAGATCTAGATAAAAGAAAATATAAGCTGTAATTTGGGGGTGTTTTTTGTAAAATCCGACCACCGGAGACGGTGGCCGGCGACGGAGCTAACGGCGGCGTGTGGCTGCCGGCTGGCGACCGGATTCCCTCCGGTGAGGGAACCTAGAGAGAAGCCAGAGAAAAATGCTTCTCTCTGTTTTAGAGAGAAACCGAGAAAGAGAGAAATGAGGATTTGGCCCGAAGGGCCGGTTATAATAGGGTATTTATATCCTCACCAAAAAGACGCCGTTTTGATGAGGGTGTTTCTATAATTTCTCATATGGAATAACCATACCCGCAGCCATCCGAGTTTTGTAACATTCCATTTTGGTTATTGAAATCAATTTATTTTTATTTTAATTCGGTCTTAGAATTTTATTTTTATACATTTTAGTCCTATCTCGTATATATATATATATTATGGTAAATATATATTATTTATTCCTTTAGATTTTATTATTTATTATTTTAATCCCATATAAATTATTATGAATTAAATTACATTATGCTTATATTACATGATATTTAGAATTAGTATTTTTTTTGATATTTTATATTTTAATAATGTTTAAATAACTTTAATATTTCGAATTAGTATTGTCTTCCCCTTTTGCACATTGATTGCCGTTGGTTTTGGTATGATGGTGGGCCCCTCATTGTTTGATTCATTTAATGTGAGTTATAAATTACCATGTCAGAAGAAAAAAGTTACATTGGTCTTTGGATTGGAAATGGATCCAATGTTGGTAGTTTTATCTGGTCACCCTTGTCGGTGCATAGGCTCACACGCCACTTCTGATCACCAGCCGATCACTTTATTATCATTTTTATATCATAATTTTTATTTATATATTTATTAAATATTAAGAAATGGTAGTCTTAAAACAACTGGATGTCCATTTTCTGATATTCTTAAATAAATAAATATCATATTTTTATAAATTATATATATTTATTATTATTAGAAAAATGTTTTAATTATTTATTTATTTTTTAATATCAAAGAAAAGAGCTGTCTTAAGGCACCTAGAAGTCCTTTTCTGATATTTCTAAATAAGTAAATATCTTATTTATATATATTAATATATTTTCTTAAAATTATTTGAAATAACAGAATTATGAATTAAATATATTTTTGAATTTTTAAATTTCTAATAATAGAGACAATTTATAATTAATAAGTACCAATTTTGGGCGTTGTAGGGGTGCTAATCATTTCCTAAACGTAACTGACCACGAATCCCTTTTTATTTCTAAAAAGAACGAATTTTTGGTTAAACGCATATCAATTTATCTTTTAACTGATGTTTTCTTAAAAAAACTCTTTAAAAAGGTAATTTTTAGGTATTCGACCTACCTAACCCAAAAGGCCGATAGCAACTCCCAAACCATTTTTTTAATTATTTTTTATCCACATTATTTTTCCCGCCAAGTAAAAAATTCGTGCCCGGACGAAAACCGGTTACGACAGCTTGGCGACTCCGCTGGGGATCACTCAAGCTTTTAAATGAATTATAAATTGTCTCTATTAATTAGAAATTAAAAATTCATATATTTAATTTATAATTCTTTTCTTTTAAAATTTTTATACTTATTATTTTATAATATTTTATATAATCTTCTTTATGATTATTTTTTTATCTAAATGTATTAAATTTCATTTTTTATTTGTTTGTCAGATGTCTAACTATTTCTCCTCACACACAACACTTGCATTGCATAACATAAGCTTTCTAATCAAGCTTGTCCCTTTTAAGTGGGAGTGAAAGTGACGTCTTCGTGAGAATTTATTCTCCGTGTCAGACCTAGCAAATAACTTTCGGGGTTCATATGCTTTATATCTTCGTGAGAATTTTTTCTCCGTGTCAGGCATAGAGAAATGTTTCCCCTCGAATTGAACTCGATCCGCTTAAGTCTGTAATAGACTAGGATTGAGGTTTGACAGCCCAAGGGGGCATCAACAAGGACAATTCGAGTACCTTTACTTCTAGAACTGAAACCTTGCATATAATAGACCCTAGAAATTCTCCGGATCTAGGACTGTAATGAACCTCTGTCCGTATGTATACACAAAGGAGAAATAAGCTCTAGCTTTTAATTTATTTTATTTTCCTTTATTTTTCCTAAATAAACACATGCGAACTAGAAATCATGCAGTTAGGTTAATTTTTCCAAACAAAGCATGGAACTAGAAAGCATGAGGTTAGGATACATTATATACCTTGATAGATAGAATCTTTCTTGGCACTAACCAATTTTTTTTTCTTTCCATTTTTATTTTTCATATATTTTGTTTTGCTCTAACTTGTTTATATTGATTTCTTTCGTTTGCATTGCATGATCATAGCATAACCAAAAGGTGTTGACTTGAAAGACTGTTCATCAAATTGGAAAGAAATCATAAATGGACAAAAAGTTTTATGATCAAACAAAATATGACGCAACTATGGAATGTCATCTTGAGAAAACTCTGAAGATAGAGGATAGTTATGTACCCAAAGATCGTATGCCCATTGAAGAGAAAAAGGAGATATGAGAAATAAGAGAGCAGATGTCCAAGATGATGGGTAGAATATCTGTTTTGGCCAAAGGAAAAGAGACCCCTGTACAAAAAGAAAAAATCATGTAATTTGAAATCGACGAAGTTTAGTCTGCTCCCGACGTCTAAAACTCAGGTTCAATCCAAGACAAAAGGCGGTTCTCATTTTGATGCTATCCCCATATCATATAAAGAGTTATATGAGAAGCTACTTGAAGCACGAGAAGTGGATCCATATTATATAAAACTGTTCCAACCTCCGTATCCGAATTGGTATAACATCAACGTTTATTGTAAATATCATGCTGGAGCTCAAGGACATACCATTGAGAATTGTCTTGCCTTTAAACGTCGAGTCCAAAGTCTTTTGGATCATGGATCCTTACAATTTATGATAAAGGATTGACCTAGTTTGGTAACCGAAGGTTCTGCTAGATTAATACCAAAAGTCTTCAAAGGTAAGAGTATAAGTAAGGGCACCCAGAAAGAAGAAAATTTGATGAGGTCTGAGGCTCAAATTCGTCATCTAAAGATTGCAAACGATAAATTGAGCACCAAAATGGAAACCATGCATGAATTTCCAGAAGGTCATCAAGCCTTTCAAAATGGCCTAGAAACACCCAGAAGAGTGGATCACAAGGGTCACCAAGCTGAAAAAGAACTGCAACATATATTAAGATCTTGTTCAAGAACTTCTTGGACATAAAGGTTCTCTTATAAGGGAAAATTAGCAACTCCGAGAAATGAGACAGAAGATGAAAGAGAATGTCATGGAAGAAGTTGCAGTCCAGAAAAATAATATGGTTCTTAAGTGATTGATTTAGCTGATTTTACAAGGAGATGAAGCAGACTGAAGTCTCAACTTTTTGAGCATGAATGGAAACTAACTGGGCTTTGGAGAAGTTAGGAGTGACATATATTCTTATATGTAAAGTTTTGTTTGATGTACCGAAACTTTTATGTTCAATGAAATCTGTTCTAAGATGATGACTCTTGAGTAAACACCTTTTCATACATGCATTTGCATTTTGCATCTTTGCATTTTTCATTGTGCATTTATACTTTTATATTTGCTTTTGTACTATACAATTTGCATTTTTATTGTTACATTCAATATTTACATTTGCATTTTTTACATTTGTATTTACATTTCATTTTACATAATACATTTGGTTTTAACTATTTACATACATTTAAACATGAAAACATGAGAGTATTCGTGGAGGATTCCATGACAAATTTCTGAAATCAAAGTGGAGCTAACTTGGTCTTCCTAAACAAGGATAAGAACCATGAATGAGATTTTAGCAAGGGTTGGAATTGAGAAACTACAAGAGCAACTTATCAAGACTCAACAAGAGATGATTGATCAATTAAAAAAATCCCATAATGATTCAATGGTTTTAAACTATTTTACATACATTTAAACATGAAAACATGAGAGTAATTCGTGGAGGATTCCATGACAGAATTTCTAAAATCAAAGTGGAGCTAACTTGGTCTTCCTAAACAAGGATAAGAACCATGA